AGAAAACAATTTACACAAACCATTGACCTAAATTCATTAAGATTAACTTAAAGTAGTTCTGAAGGCTCGAGGTTTTTTACCTTCATGCATAAAGGTTTAAAACCTTCTGTGTGCAGCAGCTCCCCCAGCCCCCTCAATACTTACTTGAGCCTCATCGCGATCCAGCGATGTGAATGACAGCCTCGGCTTTTCTGGGTCTCTGCCTCCTCATCATTGGCTGAGAAAACAAGCGGGAGACATTGGCTCCCACTGCGTCAATCACAGCCAATTAGCCAATGTGGAGAGAGGGGCGGGGCCAAGCAGCGGCTCCATGTGTGAATGGACACACAGAGCAGCAGGTTCCCCCATAGCAAGCTGCTTGCAGTGGGGACACCCAACAGACAGTAGGAGTCAGGAGAGCCTGCGGGGGACCCAAGAAGAGGAGGATCCAGGCTACTCTGTGCAAAATCACTGAACACATCAGGTAAGTATAGACATGTCTGTTATTTTACACAAAAAATGAACCTTTAGAATTGCTTTAAAGACTTATGTGGAAACTATGTGGTGTGTGGCGCTCTCTTCTTTGCACTTCTTTGCACTTTTTTCTTGTTGGCATTCTGCAGGCCCATGTAGACATAGGGCACCCAGAGAGATGCCTTTCCTGTTTGACTTTGAGGACTACTCTCAGATCCTGAGGATTACTTTTTAAACCAGGGTCCAGTGCTCCCCCTGAACTCCTCTTATCCTAACAAAACAGCTAATCAACTATCTTTTTCAGAAGGTCAGAAAGTTAACAATTGCATTATTTCATATTTTTCAAAAACAAACTCTGGGTGGATCATTTACTTACAGTCCTGTAATACAAAATATGGCATTATGTAGGAGCTTTTCTCTTTTTGGAAGGATTTACTTATGTATGTTCTTGGACTGGATTTCCTCAAATTCTCCCTGTTTCCTGTACTCTAGTGAAGTCAGTAAAAATAATTCTGATTGCCAGATTAATTTTTCCAATAAGCATACTGTGGGAACCCCAAAGAGGCCATAGAGGCCAGCAGTTTGTAGGTCCCAAGGTCTTTCCCCACTATTGCCCCCAGCCAGGCACACATGCAAGTTCTCTCTCTCGGCTCAAGAAACAGTTTAGGGTGTTGTTGTTTTTTTTTTTTTTTTTATTATTTTAGGGTTGAACTGGGATGGTGATTGGGGTAAGTAGGATGTTCCAATATTTTGCTATAACAAAACTTTGAGGACACTGAACTTGCTTCTTGAAAAATAGAATTCTTGGAACTTAGAACACTGTCTCTGTGTAGCAAAAAGCGGACAGGTTCTGCAAAGCAGTATTGAGAAGGTTGAATCTTGCTCAGTGAACTGTCCAAACAACAGCTCCCTTCCTACGGAAAGGATCACATGCTCTTCAGGAAAAACATATTAGCAAACACACGGCTGACTTTCTAACACATAAGACGGATGGTAGCACTCTAGCCTCTAGTATCTCTCCCAGCCTGTACAGAATGAATCTGGATAACTAGTTGTCTCCCACCAATATCCTGCAGGCAGCTTCTCCCAGTGCAAACAGCAACTTCAGGCCTTCCAGCCTCCAGGATGGCGTCTTCACTCAACAGGCACATGGCAGGATTGCCTGAAAGGTAGACGAGCCCCCAGGAGATGGTCTCCCCTTGGCAAAAAGAAGATGACCAGGCTGCTCCCTGCACCAAAGTATTCTCTAGGCTGACCATTCTAGAGATTGGCTGGGTCTACATAATTATTAAGCTGCTGATTAATATGCACACCTCTGTTTCCCAGAGCTCCTCCAGGTAAAGAGGGAGAATGAAACAATCATTCAGCCCCTGGAACACAGACCAGACCAAATTAATCAAATCCAGCTCCACTGGTTACAGTGAGCTAAACTAAATTTACCTACGCTAACACTTAACTGTAAACCCCAAACAGAATTCCAGCCTCCCAGACTCACTTGGTACAGTGAGCATATCTACATTTTCCTAACAGAACAAATTAACCCCATTGACTACAATGGGCCTAAACATAATTTATCTATTCTAGCACCTGAATAGGAGGGTGCTACACTTAAAAAGCAGTATGGTCATAGACAAAAGGGTGGATAACAAATCTGCAGAGAGAATGAGAGAGTGATAAAATGGAGTTACAATCAAGGTTTTGGATAGAGTAGAGAAGGGACAGATCCTCTTTAAAGTTCCATTAATATCGTATTGGTATTGTATGCAGACTGAGTGAGGGAACTATGAATAAATTGTCAGCAGGGCATATTGACTTCTTAATAGGTCTTGCTCATACTATATATTGCTTACAGCACAAAAAATGGCAGCCATCCCAACCTATAACCAGCCTTAGCAATAAGGTGCACATGGAAGGGCAATGCCATCACAAACAGACAAAAGATTTCCCAGCAACACTTACCAGCCAGCCTGTAAAACAACCAATTTGTCCCTGTCTAACAGTTGGCGTTAAAAACAGAGGGTTTTGTTTGCACCTATTTGCAAATACACGCGTAAGCCACAGTCCCGCGTCAAGGGTCCTCTGTATACTGTGGACCTTACTCTAAAATTTACAGAGTCTCCATAGTAAGAGCACATATATCAATGGATAGGTAAAGGGCAGGTGTGCCTTGAGGAGCCCATCCCTCCTTAAAGGATGCCTTTGCTGTAATTTTGCTATAGCTGGGTGTTGCATGCATCCCTGTACCTTTGGCCCTGTTACACAGGGCCAAATGTGTGTTGTTTTGCAGGCTGGCTGGTAAGTGTTGCTAGGAAATCTTTTGTCTGTTTGCTATGTGCATTGCCCTTCCATGTGCAACTTACTGCTAAGGCTGGGTATAGGTTGGGACGGTTGCCATTTTTTGTGTAGTTGGCTAATTTGGATGCAGGGATGCACTGGATGCCTTTGCTGTCATTTTGGTATAGCTGGGCATCATGTGCGTCCCTGCATCTTTAAGGAGGGATGAGCTCCTCCAGGCACACCTGTCCTTAACCTATCCATTTTTAAAATGTTTTCAATGCAAACTGTTAGACAGGGCTAAATTGGTTGTTTTGCAGACTGGCTGGTAAGTGTTGCTGGGAAATCATTTGTGATATATATTGCTTAGTGTGTAAAATATAAGACTGCACTAAAGATAAAAAAGTGTTTCTTATGGAAGTCTGGTGATAAAATTAACATGTATCATAGGCCTAGTGGATGAAATTATAACTAAACTTTCAAAATTTCTCATAAAATGGAACAAAAAAGCAGGACATAGCTCACAAATGACTATACGGTGAATTTCCTCTGGTCCCTACCCACCCTCCTTATAACATATCATTAGCTCTAAAATTACAGTTGCTGTACTCTAATGATCAGCATCATATTCTGTGAAGTCACCATCAATGAGAGGCTCATTCATCCACCTTGTTTATCTTTTAGTTCATTAAAACAAGCAATTTGAAATACTGTACATACTATGCAAATACTGTGCATATCTAGAAAGTCCACCATAGACTTCCTGGATACCTGTCCACTGGCTGTCCTCAAAAAGTATACTCACATGCCCAGCAAATCCAGTGTTGTCTGGTGAAGCCTGCCAGTCCTCTGCTGGGTGTCTCTACCAGGTACTAGCACCCAAACCCCTGGAGATGCACCACTGCACAAGCGCAGTGTGCCTGAGACTGCATGCAAAATGTGCTGGAAATTGCCCGAAGCCTCCTGGGGTGGGTGATGCAAGTATCCCAGGATACTTCAGGAAGGAGGGAGACATCACTATTGCTTGGGAAAGAAACCATGATGTGCTGGGCATGTCCAACTGAAAATGTATTAACCCCTTGACGCTGGCGCCTCCCTGGTCTTTAAGGAGTTTCTGATGCTGAGAGGCAGTGCGGGGTTTATGATCATGTGACTGCCGTGATTGGCTCCGGTAACTGTGCTGGGAGCAGACAAGGCGCATGCTCTTGTCATGGCTTTGTTTACATTTTGGTACGCTTATATATGGCCTCTTGGTGTTAAGGCCAATCCACCGAGAGGCTGCATATATGCATACTCTCAGCACCAAGGAGTTAAAGAAGAACAAATTTAATCTCTGATTGGGTAACAAGAAGGGGGTTGGAGGAAAAAATATGTAAAGTACCTAAAGAAGGTGAAGATCTCCTTTAATACTCTTTTTTAATTATTAGCATTTTAAACAAAAGTAATGGGATTATTCAGTAAACCACAGCAAGAAATTGAAAAGTGCATCATCTCACAGGAAAACCAGTTAGATTTAAAGTTAACTGAAATCAGATTCCAAAATGTTGAAGTCTTATTAGTTGCTGTGGGTTCATGCATTTTCTTCTTACTTTATTGAAACAGCCTACTTTAAAGTCATCCTAAAGGCCTATTTTAAAAAAAATTAAAAAAAAATGTCTATGCTTACCTGCTGTGTGCAGTGGTTTTGCACAGAGCAGCCTGGATCCTCCTCTTCTCAGGTCCCCCTCCGGCGCTCTTGGCCCCTCCCTCCTGTTGGGTGCTCCCACAGCAAGCAGCTTTCTATGAGGATACCATCTGCTCCATGTATCCATTCATACATGGAGACATGGCTTGGGCACTCCCGCTCTCTCTTCTCATTAGCTCACTGGCTGTGATTAACAGCAGTGGGAGCCAATGGCTTCTGCTTCTGTCTCAGACAATGAGGAGAGGGGTTCCTGGAATAGCCAAGACTCCAGTACACATGGCTGAATCGAGAGGGGGCTTAGGTGAGTATTAGGGGGGCTGCTGCATACAGAAGGTTTTTTATCTTCATGCATAGAATGCATAAAGGTAAAAAGCTTGAGGCTTTAGAACCACTTTAAATAAATTGAAGGACTACTAGACGTGCATAGGGGTTGATTTACTAAAACTGGAGACTGCAGAATCTGGTGCAGCTGTGCATGGTAGCCAATCAGCTTTTAATGTTATCTTGTTCAATTAAGCTTTGACAAAAAAAAAACTGGAAGCTGATTGGTTTCTATGCAGAGCTGCACCAGATTTTGTACTCTCCAGATTTAGTAAATCAACCGCACAATGTCAAGAGCATTGCTTCTTTGGCTCCTATTGTACAGATAAACATGTGCATATTTGCTTTTATTACAAATACATGGATTTCCAAAAACACTTTTATAGATAAAATATAATATATTTACCTCTGCCCGTGTTTTTCTGGACAAAACTCTCAGCCAGTTCCCAATCATTGTCAAGATAGAAGCAAAGTAGGCAAGACCGAGCAAAATCCAGAACCAGACCAACGGTTTGTACCACGTGTGCTCCTTACCAGCACTATCTCCTGCAAATTGACATGTGAATTAGAGACAACCATCCTCTGATAAAAAGCACCATCTATAGATCATAATACTCTAAACAACTTGCCTATAAGGCTGCATGCACACTGGGTGTTTTAATAATGCGGTAGCATTAGCTGTGTAAAGTCACGCTAAAAATGCGAGTTTTTCAGCGGTTTTTAGCATTTTTGCATTAGCGGTTAGCCGTGTTTTTCCACGTTTGTGTTTCTTAGTGTTTTTTTACCAAACATTTTTTTTTGCTCAAAAAAAGTCAAAAAAGACCTGTTTGCCATGTTTTACTGTGTTTTGCCGCATTTTCCATGTTTTTCAGCATTAGAACGTTTTTACAGTTAAAAAACTCCTCTAGAAACCAACTAGTTCTGGGTTTTTTTTCCAGCCAAAAAATGCCCCAACCAAAAAGCCCTGATTACAGCCTATGTGTGGATGCTGGGGAGTTTACTGGCTGTGAAAAAAAATTCCAAAAGCCAAAAACAGCAGCTGTAAAAACATTCAGTGTGCATGAGGACTAATAGATCTCCCCTTGAGGACTCGAAAATACAAAGGTGTTTCTTATTCAAATATGTCTTACATACCAGAGCTTATTCACTATGATGTGCGTAGAATAATAATGCAGAGCAGAGTGTATTAATTATATAGATTTCACATTACTGTTTATTTAGTGCTAGTATTTGTATGGTGACCTTTGTTTGTAAAGCAAACTTAAAGTAGGGGAAAGTGCTTCTGGCAGCACATAGGAGGAACCTCCAGTACCTCAATGCTTTCTGTTGAAATGTTATATAGTACGTAATAAATTGTATAGAGAGTAGCTGCAGGATTCACTTTGTAACTACTTGCCATCTGCTCCATGTATTTATACTGTGGGGTAGCGGCTCTTCTGCATCAGATCACATACATGTATGAGATCTGGCATTTCCAGGTAGAGGGTGCGTGTGCACATGCATGCCCGCCGTTCCAGCTGTGCTGTCATTTGCTACAGCAAAGCCTATCAATGGGTCCCAGCCAATGATTTAAGACTGGGGCCCGCTGATTGGCGAGTGAATGACAGAAGAAATGTAGGGTTCCTCCAACAAAAGCTCTCTGGTTTGCTAAAATTAACAAACTCCAGGTCATGGAAGACCTTACAATCACCTCGCACAACATGGAGGAGTTGTTCAACAAAACTTGGATTCCCTGGAACTTTTTTGTGCACACTGATGCCTATCTCAATGAGCTGTCCACCCCTTTGGGATTCATTACATCTTCTAAGACCCCTCTCAAGAGAGGGGTGTCCATGTGACCCTTTTTCTTTCCCTTACTATTTCACCCTGGTCCTGTCTTAATCATCCGCTTTTTCTCTTTTTCTATCTCTCCGACTTTGTTTCCGCTCAATCCTTTTCTGCACTCTACCTAACCCCCTCCTGCTCTCCCTATCCATCCCAACTGCTTCTCTGACTCTCTAGGGACAATTATTCCCTTACCTTTTAGACCACCATGTTTTTTTATTTTGCGACTCGTGGTCCAGTGTTCCCCCTCCTCTTTGTTTTTAGTTCCCTGCAGCATTGCTCTATTTAGTTTTATGCAATAACTGGATAATGAGCTTACCATATGCTACAGCATATGCTACTTCTCATAATAATGTTCTCCACTGGAATTCACTTTTGTAATATCAGTCTCAGGGAATGTTCATTGCTACACTGCAGTATCAAAATGTTTTCTGATGCTTTATTATGTGTTTATTACTTTGGAAGTTATTATGAATCTTTTTCACATGATATTGTACTAATACTGTACTATTATTCTCTGTATTTCATATAACCTTTGCTAAATAAAGAAATTATACAAAAAAAAAAGTAAAATATACACAGGGCTCTCTACCAGTGTAGCAACGTGGCTGTTTTTTTCTCCTTGCAAAGCAGGGAGTAAAATTAGTCACATCCACTAGTGAAAGCAGCACACTTTACACATTGATAGACACACAGTTAACCCTTTTAATCACCCCTAAATGTTAACCCCTGAATGTTAAATCCCAGCCAGTTTCAATAGTACATTGACAGTTTATATTATTAGCACTGGTCACTGTATTAGTGTCACTGGTGATGTCAGTGTCAGTTAGCCAGTTCCCACAAAGTGTCAGATTGCCTGCCACACTATCACAGTCCCACTATATGTAGGTGATCACCGCCATTACTAGTATTAAAAAAATTCATTAAACTTCCAATATAAATCTCATCGTTTGTAGATGCTGTAATGTTCATGCAAACCAATTAATATAGGCTTATTGGAATTTATTATTTTACCAAAGACATGTAGCAGAATACATTTTGGCCTAAATTTATGAAGAAATTGGGGCGTGGCCAAGCAGGGCATGTGAGTGGCTGTGCTTCACAGAGCTCCCGCTTCTGATCCTATCACTTATCCATACCGGAGAGATTTTTGTGGCTCCTGCTATTTTTGCAGAGCGGCCCTGACCTGGGGCACCTCTACATACTTGGGGTGAGCTTTTACCTACAATGATGACCCGTGAAAGTCAGGAAGAATCGGCCAGCACGGACTTCTCAAACATGGCATCCAAACAATAAGAGAAAGGACCATAGCTTCGGAGAGTCGCATAAGTGGCCTGGAAGATAAACTTCCCCCATTGCTCTCTGATCCCCGCTCTATGGCACAATTAACTAAGACTAACAATGTCAGAATGGATGATGAAAACCGTCTACGATGTAATAATGTACATATTGTAGGTCTTCCAGAACGCACTGAGGGAAGTAACCCCACACAATTCATCAAAACCTGGATGGGCACATCGTACCCCTACTCGCCCCTTGCCTGCTGGACAACCGCCCAGACCTGTTTTGGCTCGTCTTCTCAATTACAAAGATAGAGAGATCATACTACTGCTGGCTAGGGAGCGCTACAGCAATCAATTCAATGGGGCTAAAGTTTCCTTTTACCCTGACTTCTCGGCGGAGGTGCAGCGTAAGAGAGCTAAATTTCTTGAGGTTAAAGGTCACCTCCGAACCCTGCAACTGACATATGCGATGTTGTACCCTGTTCGCCTGAAAATCATTGCCAATAATCAGTCGCACTTTCTTGATTCTGCTGTCGCAGCCTCAGATTGGGTGGACATGCATGAAGCTCAACAGCGAGATCGTCCACGCAATCCAGATGATTGACTCTTGCCGCCATACCTTCTTTGATAAGCCGGGATGCCTGATATGCCTTGTTCATTCCTCACCGGGAAGTTATTTTTGTAGACTGACGCAATACCGAGCTCCACTCACGTTTGATGTAAGATTTGAATAATCACACTAGTGTTTAAATGGCAGTTAACAATATGCTATTCAATCCATTCGCACCTGGGTGTCAGCAATTTGGCCCAGTGGGTAAGTGAACACCCAGTTCACCAAATGTTTTGTGGATTTGTTTTGTTAGGCACCGTTATGCCACTGTTCAGAATGAACCTTCAAACCTTTTTTCCAGTGTTGGCCATCTTAACTACCTTGTTTTTTTTGTGAGTGCAATATAGAGCGTGGTCTTTCTGACTGTTTTAAGGGGGCAGTGGAACCTTTGATACTGAGCTTCTCCTTTCCTAGTGATATCCTAACATTACTATCTCTACTCAATTTATGGAAGACATTCCTGTGATCTCATGGAAAATCAGAGGCCTCAATGACCCACTGAAAAAGATGATGGTATCTACAGTACTATGTAAACATCAGCCTGCTATCTGTGGCCTACAGGAGACTCAACTCACCAGGGGCACTTTGTCTATGGCACGGTTTTCCTCGGTGGGGTGGGTGTATCACTCCACCCACACCGCCTATTTACGTGGGGTGTGTGTATTGATCCATAAAGACATACCTTACTGGGTGCTGGTGTGTGAAACTGATCCCGAGGGCAGATTTGTATTCCTGTTGTGTACAATATACTCTGTTACCTGTGTTTTAGCAGTTGTTTATATACCTCTACCCTTTTCAGCTAATATCTTGAGACAATTGGTAGAGTTTTTGCTTGATAAGCCTACTGTGCCATTGTTTGTGCTGGGCGACTTTAATGGGTATCCGGATCCCACTTTAGATAAGTCCCCCCCCTCCCCTGACTGCAGCAGGTTCCTGGGCTAGAGGGACTGTCTTTGGTCATTTCTTGTCTGAGGTAGATTGGGTGGATTACTGGCGTATGCGTTACCCCACTTCCCGTCAGTTCTTCTGCTTCTCCAAAACCAATAACACACTTTCTTGCATAGACATATGTGTTGGAAATTCATTAGCAGTTTTTCTAATTAAAATGATTACCTATAGCCCTAGAAGTGTATCCGATCACTCACCATTAGTGGTCAAATTACATATTAAATCCGGGTCAGCTCTCCCTTGGGCTCCGTGGAAATTAAATGCTTTTTGGTTGAATTTGATCCCTTCCCATGACACAGTAGCGCAACAGATCAATGATTTCTTCCATCATAATGATCTTCAAGTTGACCCTTTACTTGCTTGGGATACATTTAAGGCATTCCTTAGGGGAGTGTTAGAAATATCTACAATTAAAGCTAAGACGAGGATGCACGAGGCCCAGGTTACCCAGCAGGCATAACTATTGAAGTGTACATATATAGATAACCCAACTGAGTCTAACAAACAGGCATGATTATCAGCACAGGAGGTGCTTCTTCACCTGACCAGTTTGCAGGCAGAGAGGAGGAGTTTCTTTGCTAAGCAAACATTCTATGAAGAAGGTGAGCAGACTGGCCGCTTGTTAGCCAAATTAATTCAGACTCAGTACTCAGTACAACCAATTGGGTCGTTGATTTCCTCAATGGGTAGATTGGTGAATACTCCCTCCACTATTATGGAGGAGCTAATTCACTGTTATACGGACCTACTCATCAAAATCTCCTTCCACGTTTGAGGCCCTGAATTAATATGTTCAGGATACCCCTTTATCTACAATCTCTTCTGCCCAAAAAGTACACCTGGACTCACCTATTGCAATAGAGGAGCTTGCCAGGGTGACC